AATTCTCTGTCAGAAAATAATAATCCTTGCATTTGATATAATGCCTTAACACGTTGTTGAGACGTTTCAAAGCACTTCGCAGAATATTCAGCAAAGTGGATTGACTGTGTATTTTGTAGGCAAAATTGAAAATTTCAATGAAAAAAATTCCAAATGATTATTCAGATAAATATCCCACTGTCTTCATGATACACAGTCAGGAACAACTTGATCAACCATTCCACCATTAATTGCAAACCTATTCAAATCCGTAGACTAAATACAAGATTAAAAAATGATAAAAATGATTAAAAAATGATTTAAAGCCAGTTTATAACCAATTAAATGAAACTGAAACAAAATAGTTGCTCCCACTTTCCAAAAACACCCAGAAGGAGCTGGGATGTGAGTTTTAAGAAGCAAATTTTAAAGTTAGAAAAGTTTTTTGGGAAAAAAAAGGTTATTTGGAAGAAACAGGTAGAAAATACTAAAGATATATTAAAAGCTTTATAACATGTTTCTGCAGTTTCATAACAAAGTGCTATTTTTAAATAGGATCCATTAGCTTTAGTAGTCATTAAAGATTTGCAATGAAGTGGATCTCAAAAGATTCATTCATCTATTGAAGTTTCAGCCCTTTTAAATACGTTAGAACTTAGCTGAGCAAGATGAAAAGGGGATGAAATCCTTCAAAGGTAGAGTGAAAACAGCCCATATAGTGCATTTCAACAAGAATAATGCACAGGTAATAAGCAAGTGCTTATGATCTCAAGTGCAGGACCAGGAAATGTAATTATTTTAAAGGATAGTACTGTACTTCACAAAAACAAACAACAGTTCATGAAGCCAAAGAACATCTCTCCTACTCTGTTGCTTATAAATTCGAGAAACCCAATGCATTAGCCTCATCTGCCTGACTCTTTTTCCTTCATTAGAAAAGGTATAAAAGAGAGCAAGACTCTCTTTTATTAGTGGAGTAAAGGGAATGAAATTACATAAAAAATGCTCTACAGTCTATAAAAAAGGCTAAAAGGAAATCACACTTAACTGTATTGTTTTTTCTAAATTAAATTTGTTTTCATTTTTATTTTAAAATCTATTTTGCAATAACTTGACCCAAAACTTTGGATTGTGACTTTCTTGGATGCTGTACTTTCCCATCATTACATGGTGACAGAAGGTTGAAGCAGGAGGGTTCCTTTCCTGATTTTCTCGCATCTTTTAAAGAAATACATTTTAGACAAACAGATCAACGTTACTATGATTAACAGTCAGCCTTGACTGGTTGCATTCATAGTGGACAGACAGCTGCTCTGTGCCAGCAGCAAGTATCCATAGCACTGCATGGACTATAGACTTTAGTGTTTGTGCCACAGTCTTCGTTGTCATCTTGTATGAAAACAAACCCAACTTAAATTGTCCATTTTCCTTCCTGACTCACTATCTGATGTTCCTTGCTGCGGAATTCCTATAGAGGATTATCCTCAGTGGGTTTAATTAAAATCAGTTTAAAGGATGATAACACACACAAACATACGTCCATTTGCTCAGTAGGGCAGCGTGCTAGTTATGCCCTCTACCATAACCACCCATTTTACTCTTCCTTTTATTCCTCTCTTTAATTAATAGTACATTACTTTGGTGTCCACGATTGGCCAATATGGATGAAGTGAAACACAGAGCAATGCTTTAATAAATAATAATCCTTGCATTTGATACGGTACCTTTCATGTGGGGAGGACACCTCCAAGCAGTTCACAGAATATACTCTGAAGTGGAGTGACCGTGAATTTGTAGACAAACCCCGAATACTTTTATATGGCTTTGTAAATATGAACTGCTGTAATTCAATCTCACGGAAAGAAAAATTCGAGCAAGCGAGAGATATGAAAAAAAATGCAACTTATGAAAAATTAATTCCTAACAGTAAAGTGGGTACTGAGTGTCTAATTAATAAAGGGGGGGAGGCGGGGGAGGTTGAAAGAAAATAGCTTTTAATGATTTGAAAGGTTGGATAGACAAGCTGGCATTCTGATATTCTCAATGTGGTGCAGCTCGGTCAAACCGTGCAGAATGAATCATTCTCCAGTGAAGAGCCAATGAAATCTGCAGCCAAGTAACAGCCCACGGAGGCCATAATTAGTCTTACATTTGAGGCGTTGGAGCAGGTTTTAAGGCTGTAATTGCAGCAAAGGAAATTCAATCTTTAAAACACAAAGAGAATGTAATACAGGAATAATAATGTCTTCAGCTACGTATATTAGTTGGAAGACCTTTATTGTACCAAGTGGTTGATGTGGCTGTGTCCCAATGGTGTGAGAAAGATGCAAATGAAGAAGCAACATTATTTGTACGACTAGATCCATGATAATTAAAAAAAATTAATTAAACTAAGTGACATCAGGCTATTCAGGTTTAATTCCTTTCTCATGACGGAGCGTGACTTTTAACTTCATTTCTTTCATATGTTGTGGAATCTGTTTGCTGACCTTATTTTTCAAGGGTTAATCTAACCCTTAAAGCGCTTCGGACTTCAGTAAATTTAATAACACTGGGTAGTTTAAGGGATATTGCTTCTGCAGGAGAAACAGTTTTGTTGTTTGGAAAATTGCAAGAGAGCCTTGCTTCGCATTTATTCACCCTTTGCTCGATTCATCCCCAAAATACATTTATTACACTTTACAGTATATTCTGAGGCACTTTAAAATGTCCTCCCAGTGTGAAAGATGCTGTGTTAAATGTAAGGATTATTTATTTGCTGTATTTTGACACAGTGTTTGTAATGGAGAACAATAGTATATGGTTTATATTGGGAGTCCTGTAGCTCAGTGGTTAGAGCACACGCCTCACAAGCGAGAGATCTGGGTTGGATTCCCGGCAGGGCGAAACCTTGGGCAAGTTTCCTTACTCCACACGCCTAATAATAATCCCTCAAGAAAATAAATAAATAAATTGGTCACTTCAATCCACGACTGTTTGTAGGACACTGTTGTGCACAATTGGCTGCCGCATTTCACCCACAAATGTACAGTCAATTCACTTTACAATCTATTCTGTGAAGCGCCTTGAGAAGTCTAGAAGATGTGAAAAAGCACTATATCAAATGCAAGGATTATTATTATTATAAATGAGGAGACCTTTACTTAGTACAGAATATTTTTTAAAGCAAGCAATTATCTTAACGTGTATTAAAGTTAAATTGCCTAGCTGGAGACTGAGCACATCTAGATGTTGGGTAATGTAACACCTTGTGGGGACGTCCTGTCGAGATCAAACTCACATTTTAAAGCCAGATTGAACGCAGGATTGCCTTCACCTTTCACTAACAGATTAGGTTTTGAACCCAGGTGAAAAAAGATGAAAACCAGATGTTTGGAGGTAAGCAGTTACAGAGCTGGCGGTGGGTGAAAGGTCAAGAAAGACACTTACAGAGAAGCCGAGCTGTAAACGTGATTCCTGACTGTCAGTAAAAAAATGTACTGACCAGCAGAGGATGAGAATATCTTATCAGGTGAGGCTGATGTACCCACCGCCAAGGCTGATAAATATAAGTTGAGAATCACTCTGCAGGCTGTGACAGTTTTCCAGATCACATAGACAGAGACGCTATATAACGTATAAGTGTCACAGGGCGCTGATTAAACAATTGTCACTGGTTTGAAAGGGTCATACAGGATTTTAGCGTGACTGAAATCTTCAAGAAATGCAATTTTAAAAAATTATAAATCTAATAGCTTCATCAGAAAATGTCTTCACCGAATGCCCTCCATGTCCTGCCTCCTTCCCAAGAATTGGTTTTACTTCAGCATCAACCTAATGTCAGTTACGTAAAGCTGAAGAGTTTAACTCGTTTCTGTTGTTTTTATTTAATTAAGCAATTAGTTAGCGCTGACATAACAGCCCTTTTATCAGCAGATTGAAGGCTTCAGAGACACCTGCCATTTCATATTCTGTTATTTCCTTACTAATTAGAAGATTTACAGGAATTCATAGTCCAGGGTGACCCTCCAGTGCTGTGCTGGGGGAAGAGCTGTTCGTCAGAGGTGCTGTCTATTGGATGAGATGATAAACCGATGTCGTGTCTGCCTTTTATAAAGTCAGGTGGAAATTAAAAGATTGTACTCCACTGTTCAAAAAGAGAAGGGATTTTCTCCCCACATCCTGGCCAACAATCTTCTAGATAAAATTGGACATTCACTTCATGGCTCTTTGCGAGATAATGTTGTGCACACATTGGCTGCTGTATTCACCTAGTCATGTAAAGTCATGACACTTTACAGTAAATCTACTTTGTGACATCCTCCTGACATGAAAGGCACTATATCAAATGTGAGGATTATGATTTTATAGACCAGCTCTATAATTTGAAAGCCAGGTAAATAGCTTGTTCTAGAAAGACTGGAATGTGATGATCTTCAAATGAATACAGGTTGGAACAAGAAACAGTAAAAAGGTATAAAATCCATTAACAGAGATAATGAAGGGAAAGGATTTAGATGCAATTATCAGTCATTCATCCTGAGGTTTTGTGGCCAACCTGAAGCTATTGTCAACAATATTGAGGTTATTTGACAAAAAGTCAAAGACTTATTTTAAAACGTTTATAGATCACATTTTCAATATTGTTAGTAATTTGCATCCTACCTTCAAAAGGTTGGGTTGTGTATGGTCTGTGGAGGAGGCAGGCTTATAGGCTGGATGTCCCTTGCTCATTTCATACTTTTCTTTATTAAGTCAACTAGCATCCAAATAAAAATTGTTGAATATTTCAGAAAATATTTCTAGTCATGTCCCATCTTCTTGGATTTATACTGAGTGAAATAGTCAATGCAAACTTTGACTGAAGTGCAATAAGAATGTATGTGTGTGTGTTTTGTGGATAAGCTCTTATTGTGCCATCTACTGGGTGCAATGTGTGAATACAACATCACCTAACAAAAACTTGTAAAGTATAAAAGATATTCAGTTCCAGACATGCAATTACACATTACAAACAAAAGGATTTACACAGACAAAGGAGCCACGTTAGTGCTTCAGATGTCCAATAGGACAATTTATTAGCATGCATAGCTCAAACTAGTGTGTAGTGGGCCAATTCCCAATTGGAAATTAAGAATGACATTCACTTCAACAGCATGATCAGTCTCAAACATGATTAATCACTGAAGGCAGCCTTCAACTGAAAGAGTTGAAAGGTATTGGTCACTACAGTAGCCAAAGTCAGATGTATAAAAGTGCTGAATTCAAAACATAAATATGCTGAAATAGCCTCTACTTCATTTTGCAGAATCTATACAATGCAGTGCAAAAAGAGTGTAAAAATTGTTTTTTTTTGAAAAAAATGAACATCCATTTAGCACTACTTTGCAGAGAGTTACTTATGTCATTGTTTGTTCCACAGATCATCATAATAAACACTGCTCTACAATATAAATAAATTAACAGCACCTTCTGAAAAAGTAAAAAATCTTGTATATCATAAAGTTGTAGGAAAGACACACGTGCAACCAAAGCAGAGGTTTTCCACTATAGGAACAATCATGCAAACAACAAGGCGTTTCAGAGACTGATACATTATGTTTAATCTATACAGACGGAGACCCACATGGGTACTAAACTTCATTTAAAATGTAACTCTTTTCGGAAATCTTTAGAAAATACTTGCAGTCTACAAACTGTGTAGATACAATAATATGTGTTTTTATTGAACTGAGTGATGTAGCACATATCTTCCGGATGAAAGAAGGTCGAGTGATGTTAAAAATATACCACAACACACTTGCAAAATGGCTACAAAGGCATTGTAGGTAACAGTCCACAATCGTAATATTTGGTCAGTAACAAGTTTTGACCCACATGAGGAGATACATCTGCCTGGCAGCACTGTATTTAAGAGGCTTGATTTGTGACAGTGTGTCTTTCGTTTCCCAGCAATACGCATGCAATGAGTTGATTAGTTCTCAGTTGGATGAGCCACTTAGGAAAAGGGTAGGAAGGAAGTGGGAAAAGAAGAAAGAGGAGAGGACAGAGGTGATTCATCTTATCGTCCAATAGCACATCTCTCGACGACGAACCATTTACAATCACCTCTTCACTCTCCACCGTTTTTCCTCCCTCCAAGGTTTAAAGATCTTGACCAGCCAAGACATTTTTTAAAAAAAAACGAAGGAAGTTGCCAGATCGGTGAAGATTAGGAATCATTTACATTTTTAAGTACAGATGAGAGCATTCGTTGTCTGGCATGTTTAATGGTATAGTCAAGTGCATTACAGAAATGAGCTTTCCCTACAAAAATATCGCAATACCAAAGGAAAGCCATCAAACCCACAATACACTGGGATCTACAGATCTTGTGAAGTAAAATTCAACTGTTCAAAGCAAATTATATTTCCTTAAAATCCTTTATTTGCCAATTTCAGATCCAGTTTTAACTTAGCAAAGCTACAATAATCAAAATCACTGACGTGCAGGAAGTACATTTAGCTTTAGCACTGGCTTTAGACCAAAGACCTGATAATAAATACATGAATAAATAAAAAANGAGGGACGTTCCTACTGGTAAGTAGAAAGCACTGAGAAATAAGACAGTGTGAACTAAACAATTATCAGGAATACGAGTAAACTTGTAGAAGTTAATTTAAAAACTACTCTGACCCATTGGGCCACTGTTCAACATTTCAGTAGTACTCAACCATTAGTATTTGTGTGGGGAAAAAAGTTACTGTTTCAATATTTACTTTGGAGTGGTTTCTAGCATCTATGACTACAACTACATACAAATATTGAATGATTCGGCTCAACATAACCCATGTTTGTCAATCACAGCAGTGTCTGCCGCATAATTAAAACGTTTCCAGTCTGCCAAAACAAGCTTTGAAATTCATGATCAGTTTGTTGGCCATGAAACCCTGCTGATTACAAACAGGGCAAAAAGAGGATGTGGCCTGATTAATGGTTTCTTGAGAAATGGAAAAANTATAAAAGGACACGTGAGATTCTGATTGATTTAACATAAGTATCTGCACTGAGTACATTTACGGAGGCCACGTCAAATTAAAACAAATCTAAACCAGGTTCGATCAATTGTCGGTAGTAATATTTTCAAAATAATTACAAATTGAGTTTTGCAATCAACTTACTAAGGGAATCTACTAACATGTACTGTCTATTTTCTGCAAATGAGAAAGTACATTCCTATAATGCACTGCATATGAAATTGTAGGTGAATCTGTTTTAAAAGGTCTAGCCTCAGAAAGACTGAGATTTGAAAGTCCCTCCATCAAGGGGCTTTTCAAACAATTTAGTAAATTGAAAATTTGACCACCAGAAACCAATATTGTGTTTTCATGATTGTTTCTAAGCTGTACAACAGAATGTCCAAAAGATGCTGAGGTGTTGGGTAGTTTGTGCCAAACTTCTGATCACAAGTTCAGAATACAGTGTCACCATGCCAAAACTCATTTAACATGTTCTGAAGTGTGAGAAGAACAGTAATACTTCTTGTGAGCTATAAAGGTTGACAAACTGCTGAATTTGATGTTGCACAAGCGACAGAATCTGTGGTTTCCATTCTGCACAGGGCTTGGGAGAGACATTGCTGTCTGAACAGATTTGTCCACATTAATGGGTGAGATGGGCGATTTGTCCACATTAATGGGTGGGATGGGTGATTTGGAGCCTGGATCCGTGGGAACATCAGGCACAGGGGAGATTTTCACAACTTTAGGGGAGGCAGTCAGTATAGGTTTAGGAGAGATGTTCTCCACAGGGCTTTCACTTGACGACTGGGATGAGACAGATTCTCTTTGATCTTTAGCATTCAAGATGTTCTTCTGAATCTGAGTGCCTGGCTGAAGAGATGAGGCAGGAATTCTAGAATTGTGAGGGCTGCTTTCAGAAATATTGTTTGTCTGGTGTTTGCCTTGTGATGAAGTGTCCATCGTATTGCTCTCGGCTGTGTGCCCAGTTACAGTCTGTTTGGTCAACAGCAAGCCATGAACGTGTTTAAAATGTTCAATAAGATCTCCTTCAATAGGTCCATTAAGTGGACAGTAAGGGCAAACTACTGGAGTACGTTGGGGTGCTGGGGAGGACTTAATGTGAGGGGACAACTGAGGTCTGTCTTGCAAAACATCTGCACTGTAGTGATATACTCCTGGAGAATTATTTGGAGTAATGTACGGGTGGGCCAAGTGTGGACTTTCTGGAACACATTTAGCATTTACGTTTTTTTNGTTCAATTCCTCAGATTGCATAGGAGGGTCTGCAACATCCATTCTGTTGCTCTTTCTGGGTTTCACTGAAATAGTGGATTGTATCTTTGCTTTGACAAGATGTTCCACGTTACTGTGCTGAAGAGCTGTAGCCGGGCAGTAGTACTTCTTATGGGCAAGATAGTTTTCGACATTGTTGAAACTAATTTTGCAGGAGGTACATTCGTGATAGTCTGTCAAAATATTGGGGGCTTGAACTAAAGGTGGAGCGTGGACCGAAGGTTCTTCCTGAATGCGGGATTTTTTGCTGAGATCAATGGGTCCATCTACATCCGAACTGGAGCCCGGTGATGAAGTTGCACTGGATCGAGTTAACATGTAACCTGTTGACACAGAAAGAGCATCAGTAGACTTTGAAGAGAGCGGCAGCGATTCTTGCTTTATTTTTAAAGCTTCTGCATTGTTGGGCAGCCCACTGCATTGAAGCACTGCTGCTGAAGGGCTATGGACGGACACTTCATTTGCAGGAGGTGGGGGCAGAGGCTGATGTCCGGCGCTGTGGATCTCGTACAGCTTCCTACGCTTGCGAGTGCGTACATTTTGCTGGAGGAATGGCACTTTCCCACTGTTTGGCCTTCGAAGAGGAGGGTCGTGTCTGGAAGCGCAGTAGAAGCGCTTGTGCACCACGTAGGTTTCATGTCGGGTGAACCTTATATTGCAAGCCTCACACACAGTCCGGTTGGGGTCATCTTCCAAGTCATCGAGGGAATTGCTTGGACTCTGGCTCCCTTCACTGACTCTACTAAGGCTGTCTCCTTCGGACGAGGTGTCCTTTGTGACATTCTCCTCCGTTTTGATTTCTGGTGGTTTAACGTCCACATTTGCTGTTTGCGGGTCTGCTTCTGGATCAGTCTGAGAGGATGACGCCACCTGATTTTCGACGGCAGGCGCAGGACTGGGAGACTCCTGGTCAGTTACGCTGGGAGGTGCAGGCTGTTTGGGAGGCTCAGCGGCGGCATTGTCCGGCTGCTGGTGTCGGCTGGAACAATACAGCCGTTTGTGTACCAAATAGTTGTTGACGTTATTGAACGTAATGTCACACTCGTAGCAGGTTGCTCCTTTCTGAATAGGAGCGCCCGCATAAAGCAGAGGGTAATTATTCACCCCTTGCTTCAGTCTGCTGTGAACCAACTCCGACATTTTGGCGAGGATTTCTGAAGCTTGTGGAAACGTGGAAGTTTCGTGATTGAACATGTACGGTATTAACACGGTCCCTTCTGGCATCACCGACGCTGCCCCATAATGGACTGGACTGGAGGCTGGTGTTGGGCTTGAACGCTCAGACTTCACTTTGACCACAGGTGTGCTCCTCGGCGACGAGGCGCTGGAGGAATGATCATTGGTCGGATTTGCCTGACCTTCCAAGGTCTTCTCACTCTCGCTCTCAGATTGTGAATTTACACCTCTCTGAGGCTCCTCTTTGATCTTCACAGCTCGATTGGCTTCCTCGGGAACCTCTTTTCTGGAAGCTGGAGTGCCCCGCTCATCCGTGCCCTTTGCTTCCTCAGTACCGTGCTGAGACTCAAGAGCTTGGTGACCCTCTATGTGCTTGGCTAGCTCGGTTTCGCTTCTCAATTGCTTATGGCATTGACTGCACTGAAATGCCCCTTGTAGGAGATGCAGTGAGCTGTGCTGCTGCAAGCTTGATTCGGAATCACCAACAAACTCGCACTGGCTACACTTCAGGCTTGCGGAAGGATCCGCGACCTTCAAACCTGGGATGAACAGAGATAAAAGGAAACAAACTAAATATTGATACTAAAATGATTCATCTGTATTTTGCAATGAACATGAAGCACACATCTGTCTCTCATTTCCCGTTAGTTACATTCACTCTATGAACAGAACTGGCAATATGCTTGCAAGCTCAAGAGCTTTCCCACAGCTTCAAGTTTTATTTGGTGCCATGCGTTTTATTGATACAGGGTAAGTCTTGATGTTTTGCGGAAGTTTTTCTAACATTTGCAACAAAAAAAATCTAAAGTTTGACAAAAACATGTTTGCACAGGAAATGCAGTAAGTATACCCGAAACATGCCACAGTACAAAATAATCCTAAAATGAGTGCAGAGGTTGTGTGCTTCTCTTGCTTACCTGATAAAGGAGGGACAGATAGACCTGTTGCAGGGGAGTACAAGTCACTCTTTGAACCTGGCTGGCAGGCCATGTGATTGGTAACCAGATGAGTATACAGGATGTCTCTTGTGGTTGCGACAAATCCACAGCCCTGACAAACACCTGTGTCAAACCACACCACAACAATCTTAGTGCTATGTCCTTTTCTCATCCACATCCACTCTCTCACATCTAGATCTTTGGGGAGCAAAGGGCACATCTCCCACCCATCTCAGAATTATTGCCTCCTGCACTGAAATAAGGCTATTCACCTAATAAACCAACAAATCATGAGCTTATTGGCAGAAATGCTGGGATGACTTATTAGGTCTTAAAGGCTCATCAAATCACCTAGAATTCCTTACTGATTCCTAAAAAGATCTACTGTGTTAGCAATCTGGATTAATAATCCTAAAATACTATTACTGGGTAATTACAGTAGATAGCAGAATGGGCTCAATAACAGAATCATTCAATACTACAGCAAAGAAACAGGCCATTTGGCCCATTGCATCTGCTCTGGTATTTTTCTCCATGTGAGTCATCTAATCTAATTCCAATCTCCCGCTTGTTCCACGTATCTTTTAATGCTCCTCTTTTCAAGTATCCATGTAAAAGAATCTCTGGATTCTGCCTCGTCAATGGTTTGTGGAATGGAATTCCACATTCCAACCCTCCTCGATGCATGTACCGTAGCAAAGTCTACACAGTACTAAAAGAAACATCCGTCTCTAAAGTTATTTATACTGCACTGCACTTATTAGATTGGCATTCTTGGCTTTCATCTTTGTCGTCAAGCCTCCTATTTCAGAGCCCATGGATAGTTTGAGGTAAGAGTTACAGCAGCCGACTTACTGTTTAGAAATTCTAAGAACCACACTGAGAACTTTTTATTGATTCAATCTTTTAACATTGCCAAATGATTTTTTTTTGTCCTTGGGACTTTTATCTGAAGGAGCACATTGGGATGTAGACTATCCTTACCTCTCCTCAAGCTCCAGTGATGACTGAACTTACTATTCTGGCCCATCCATCTTAGTGACATGGCAATAACACTAAAAAATTCTGTCTGGGTCTAAAATCACCCCCTCATAGTCTAACAAAGGAAATGAACGACAATTTTTTTTTAGACACATGAAAATCCATCACCATGGTTAAGAATATCCAAACTAGGAAGAGTTCAACGGATGCAAATGTAGAACTCCACTCAATGAAACTACTTACGTTTTGCATTAAAGTTCCCTCTGTCCATGATAACTAGTATTAGCAACGTACTATTTATATTAAAACTAAATAGCTTCCCACTCTTAAATTCCTAATATTCTCACCCTGGCTTCAACCAAGACCCTGGCTCACGTACAAATTGTGGTGTAGAAAACACAATGTTCTTAAAGCTGCAAAAAGACTCTTTTGCAAGCAACTGGATATGCGCATCCCATTGTAACATGTGTTACATTGACCACCTTGAGGAAACTCTTCTGTGATGCACTCGGGAGTAGATCACATTGAGACCAGGTCAGTGTAACCTTTGGTCACTGGCAAGAATTACTGGACACAAGTATAAATATCCTCTTACCATCATATCCAGCAATTTTGATTGCATTGCAAAATCCCATAACTAAGTGCACACTGCCTACAGATTACAGTCACTACACTTTACAGAAACTTGGGAGTCATTTTGAAGTGATGAGGCACAATACACAGGACAGTTAAAATGTGGTTTCTGTGCTGAGAAAATGCATCTTCCCATCACACTGATAGACTGCATTAGGTAACTAGGCACAGGTCCAAGATGTGAGAGTAATCCCAGTGCTTTATACATAGCAGGAAACTAGGTCAGGCTCATCCCTCACACTGGCCAGCGGATAAATGCAACTGGAGCAAAGCCATCATTTTATCCTCGGGTAAAACTGACTAAATCCACTGCCGTTTGAATCGTGGTGAACAGAGGCTGCACGTGGCTTTAAACATGCAGGTGCACAACTCTGCTTCTCTGAGCACAGGAGATAACACTGGCCCAGTAAACCCTCACTGTTCTCAACTCTGCAATATAACTGCAGCATCAGACTGCTGTGCCATATAGTGCACATGAAAGACAGAAGCAAGTACATATTTAAAAAAAAGTACTACTTTTCCCAGACAGTTCATTTTAAGAAAGGAAGACTTGGCAAACAAGATACCAAAGTGCATGAAACTAACTGCTGTGGCTGATGGTACATAATCAATCGATAGCAACTTTGCTGATTTCTGTATCCACAGTGTGGCAATAGCAACAACGCTGTGTGAGAGAATTCAGGACAACTGTCAAAAGTGGGGCAGTAGGTTGTGGAAAAACTATTTAGGACGTGAGCTCACTGAGTGTTTGTTGGGGCAAAAGAGGGGATAGGAAAAACATGATGGAATATTATACCTTCCCATGTATGAATCAGACAGCAAAATATTAATGATGAACACTACAACCTCCAGCTTCCAGACACGTGATATACAGAAGCTCTACAAGGTAAACCAACAATTCTCAGTAAATAAACTCATCATTTGTGCACACGTAATTACTTCATCTCAACATGTGTACAGATTACTCCAGGCCATCTCTCCCTTCTTTATGCAGTAGAAACAGTGATGCTGCATCAGACTAAAGCATCTCAAAGAGCTAAACGTTTATAGAAAGTGCTGTTCTAAAAAGCTTTTTGATCAAAGACAGAGCCGTTGTTTTGGTCACGAAGTTCCATGCCACCCAGGGCAAAAGCTTCCAAGGCTTTTAGACATAAAAAGTCCAATTACATATGTGCAAATGATGCAGAATTTTCCCACAAAAAAGCCTGTCATTTTAACTTGCTAGAAACTAGGTCCTCCTTTTTTAAAAAAAACACTATTTTCATAGGATTTAATTCGGAGAAAACTAAAGATAGTAATTGAATACAATATTATAGATTTGTGTGATTTTCTTCATAGTCTTTTTCAGTACTTAATCTCGACTGGGTGTATCAGAGACTGGTAAATACTGAGTAACACTGGGATCCAGGCTGTTTGCTTTGGGACTGAAGATGGCACATTTACGAGAACCGATGAGCTGAATAGTGCCCTATATTCTGAACAAGTCACTACACGAGTAAGCAGTATATTAGACATGGGATAGATTGCAAACTAAGAGTGCCTTACAGCTGAAATCTTTGGGTTAAAAAGTAAATTACCATTCAGCGAGTCCGTGTGTACTTTCAGGTGTCGTTCACAGTTTGCCTTTGTTGTAAACGCTGACAGACAGATTAGACACACAAAAGGCCTTTCACCTGAGCACAATAAGATAACATACATCAGTCTGAAAATCAGGGTCGATGATAAAACTGAAAATCATTATTCTGTGGGGGGAAAAAGTGACAATGCAGATGACTCCATACCCACCACCACTGCCTACCTACTTTCTATTTAAATGAAAATACTGCGGTTACACCAGTAATGAATGAGCAGGTGAATGAGCCAATAGGTACCTCGACATCCTGGTTATGGTGCACAAATTAGTCACTTTGTAGTAGAATAATGGATGTTGCTTTAAAATTACAAGCATCTGATTTCTCCTACCTCTCTGTGACAGTACTTTGTGAAACTGTCAATTAACATGAACTTCCTTATTTGAAAGATGAACTCTCAAGAGCCATTGTGGGAACAGCTCCAGATCTTTGGCAAGGGAAGAATGCTCTTTCTGCAATTGGGAGAATGGAACAACCAACCCCAATCACAGGCCTCTGGGCCCATAAAATTAGACACCACGTCATAATGGCAAACTAAAAAAAAAGGCTTGTGGTCTATCTAGAAAGAGTGCCTTATAAACAGTGAAACGTTTGGCCTTTCTCAAATGTTCTCTGCACACCAGGAATTCTGAGGGATTTTCTCCTGCCTAGCACTGAAGACGACTGTTGCACCATTTAATACATTGATTGCGATCATCTAATCTCAGCAGATTCAGACCTACAACTTTCTAGTTTGCTGGCTTCATATTGCACTGACGGGACAGTGCCTCTACCCATGAGGCTGTTAACAATTAAGTAAATGCAAAACGGCACTTTGTGGAAAAAAAAGCAGTCTTTCAAAAAGAACTTATCTTGAATTGCAAAGCACAAAATACACTGATTTAAGGCAAAGGAACAGAAAACGACTTGAAAACAAATAAATCAAACGGTGTGTAAAAGTTTCAATCTTGCTGCAATGGTAAATAGTTTGAACTTAGAATTGCTATCACAGCAGCAAATGTCACAGATAATAAGATTAAATTCCGACTGAATCACAGGTACATTGTGTTGGCGCATAAATCATAGGAGTAGATTGTAAAATTGTTTTCTATTAACTTTTAGAATCACACACACACAAAGCTTTTAGTAAGTACAGGTTTTAGTATCTGGAATCTACATCTACACCACATTACATTTATGATCTGGGTATCGTACATACTTTTGTAAGATAAAGATATTGGACATTTATAACGGGGGCATTGCATAAAAATGAAAAACATGTTTCCCTCAATGCTCTTTCCCCAGTAAAGAAAGTGTACACATAATAATTCATTACAAGCATCCCTTTAAACCTGTCTCCACCTGAACTTTCAAACATTTGACTATATATATACATGGCTTTTGCATAGAGGCAGAAGAGATTTAATTCACAACAAAAAAAAGTTCAACAATACATGATGTGACTTTTTGTACGGAAGGATGTACTGGATAGCAGTAATTTAAGATTTTTTTTACACTTTGACGAAAGCTGATTAAATCACTACACTCTTCACCATCATTCATAAAGTGTTGCATTTTTTTTNACAGTGAAAGTTCAGAACTGCAGAATGTGTAAACACACACACACACACACAACCACACACAAATTCTGCGAAATTTGATTTGACATGATTGATTATTCATGCATGTTGAGACCATTTGCACTCTGGATGAGATCAGATCAAATTGCTCTAGGCTGCCCAGGTAGGAACTTTTGCTCCCTATTAACTGCGCAATTTATTTGCTCTGGATCGATTCAAAGGACAAGCATTTGGATTAATCCAGGCTTTTATATTCAGCCTCATGGAATCCAAAACTCAATTTAAAAGGTTTTAAAAAAAATCAAATAAGTCAATTTCAAAGACATTGAAAATAAATTTAAATACAGCAATTGATTGTTACGAGCAGATCAATAGGCTCTCTCAGACAGATACATACCATGCATGGAATCAGAAAACTCCACCACTCACCCCCATCGACCACCACAACAGTTGTTTTAAGATACTGAATCCTTCTTTCAGTGGTCGTGACACTTCAGTACAAATTAGCCACAAACCGATAAACTACAGGTTTATGATGTCCCATTTGCAGAAAATGTCACACATGTTCAAATGGAAGAGTCCAACCTGGACTAAACTACAAAATATTAAAATATCCATATACTGGGTGAATTTAGTGCATTGTTTAGTAAAAATTTTGCATTTACTCTTATTGTTAACCAATTCGACTTAGCAAAATTCGCTACAAGATGTCAGTTAATGATTATTTTTGTACTTTTTGTATTATTTCAAAGCTGAATTTGCTAATTAATGGAAACATTTCCTAGAGTGTATTTAATTTCAGAAGAGTTTAGAGATGCAAAGGTGATTTCAGGATAGATACCAGTAAGTTTTGCTTTAGCCAGAGGGTAATTAATGAGGGGAAAATGTTGCCAGGAAGAGCGGTTGAGGCCAAAACACTAGACGAAAAAAAGCAGCTTATTCCTATGATTGGGGGGTGGGGGGAAAAGAGAAGGGCAGAGGGTGGGTTTTGTGGAAGAATGTGATCAGATGGCCAAAGGGCCTTCTTCATCCAAACCAATCTTGTGACCTTTTGAAGCACTGCCTGCCTTAAGGGACTGGTGGACCAGCATCAGTGTTTTGAAAGACTTGTAAAATATCCTAGCTTCATGTAACTTTTCTTCGCAATTTTAAGTCTTGTCCCTTTTCTAAAAAAAACCTTTGTTTTCGTGCCATTTATTAAACTTCATTTTACCAAATTTCTATTTCCTTGATTCCTTCATTAAACCGATCAGGAGAATGAACACTCCTGCAACCCAACCAAACAGCTGCACAGAAACAGAGCAACACTTCAGCCCAGACTGCCAACAAGATACCCGAGCAGGAGGATAGGGAACTGGGCAGTGTAGCAAATTGTCACCTTGCCGACAAGGCTCAAAGGCTCAAAGCCCCACTCAGGAATCGTTATCGAATGCCTTTTGAAATCCTATTAAATTATATCCACTGGGGAGCCCCTCCCTACCTCCCTCCCTTACTGATTTGGTTACCTCCTCAAAGAATTCCAGTAGATTAGTAGAGCACAACGTATTGCTTGTAAAACTATTCTGTCTTGTTCCCGTGGTCTCTGCACTCTTTAGACTCACATTGATAGTATCTCACAATGCTTTTAGGCATTTTACACACTACTGTATTCACTGCCCACCTACTTGCTTTGTGGAACATTGAAAGTGATGGCAGCTTTGGCCGAGTTTTCTTGAGGACCATCACTTGGCCTCTAGATATCCATCATGGTTCAGGTGGGATTAACGGCCCAGGGAATTTATAACACAAGACGTCTTAGTGCCTTTAAGGAGCACATGACGGGCATATAATACCACGGATATTCTTTCTGGACAGTTTAATGGATTTTGGTCTCTTCAGATGTGATCTTCAGACTTTCCTCACCTCCCCTCACTCCCCGAATCGGGGTCAAACTACACCATTGTGAAAAGCGCTATGTACATGCAAGTTGCTGCTGTTGTTACCAGTAAGAGATCAAGAGAAGATCAACAAATCTACAGGCACCTAAAGCATCTACAGGCACCTAAAGAAACCCAACCAAACAGCAGCACAGAAACAGAGCAAGACTTGTAACTTTAAATTGAACGGAGCCGGGAGGAGAACAGGCACCAATATAAATCCGCACCAGGAAGCCATCTCAGGCAACCTCAATTTATATTTGTTCATGCTCTACATAGAATGGCAACAGTGGACCAAATGCCACCCCAATATAATACATTTCAAGACAAACTGAGGTTCTACAACTCAACATATTTTGTATCATACCAGAACACAACTAACTTAAAGGCATCTTTAGCTGTGCATATAATGTCCTATTATAAAAACGTGCTAAAGATCTCATGCTCGGACGTCAATAGTTTAGAACAAGTCGTTTTTATGCTGCTGAGAATCAGGCCGTTTTGCTTACTGCATCTAATGTTATCGTTGTGTGTGGAGAACAGACTTGTAATTTATCAATATCTTCAATGAGAGTTATCCTTCCACATTCTATTAATATTGTGAAGTCAATCGGCATTATCCAACTCTTTTACTTTCGGTTACCAGATGTGAAACAGTGGTGCACAATATACCGATTCCTATATAATGTAGCGTTGCTATAATGTAGCAGAAGTGAGAGGAAAAATAGAATCAGTCCGATAAAATACTCAGAAAGTACATCACAATGGACCAGTGGATTACCATCATGTCTTTCATGAGATAGAGTTTAAAATCTCATCATTGTTTCTTAGCTGGGTGTGATTATAATGTACCTCAAGTGTCGGTGGTGTTCTTACTCAACATGCTTTTGTCTCAGACGATGATGAAATTGGTTTGACCCCTCACTCCAAATAGTCATTTTAATTTGAAACCTGGCTTTTTTTTAAAAAAAATCTCTAGTCCCCGAAGCTGTTAAAGGTATAGATGTGAGGGACATCTTACCGCTATGGCTACGCATGTGAATTTCCAGAGAGCTGGCGCTGGGGCAACTTTTGTTGCACTGGGGGAAAGGGCAGATGCGTTCATGTGGTGATGGTTCCTTGGGTTTCTCCTCTGTGGGAACAGATGAGGGTTTTTGCCGGCTCGCACAGTAATACATCAGGTGAGCTTGCAGGTTACGTTCGCTCCTGTACCAGATCCCACAGGATTTACAAGGAAAAATGTCCTCTGAAAAAACAAATCAAACAATTTTTTTCAGAAACATATTCTGTAATAGCGTGAAAAAACACAATATGCACAACATATCACAAAAAGATAGATGAGAGCAGCGAGGTGGCTTAGACCTTGAGACTTTCTCTCTAGGTAGAATTTATGCTACAACTTAAATGTGAAGGAAGGGCTGGGTGAAGTCTCATGCTTTTGACTCCTTTAAGTTTAATAGACCGTGCTTTGAATGAATCCCAGAGAAACACAACAGCTCCACAAGACTGAGAAGATGTCAACACAACTAATGCTAGGAGATACCATGGCAATCGTTTCTTAAAATAAAGTAGAGGCGGAGAGTGTTTTGCACTGAAAGGTGTCCGCCTCAGTCCAGCCTTTTTTCCTCCTTCAAAGGTTTTCAATCAAAATTCTAAAAGGACTAACATTGTGGACAAGATTCTCTCAGTGTGTTGAATAACTCACAAGACTTCTAGAAGACAGGTTTCTGGCAAAGAAGAAATAAAAGAGATGCCAACTTATTGGCTTGTTCAATCTACTCAGTCAGGACACAGTTTGTTACTATAACTCTTGCCACAAAAAAGGGGCCTTAAAAAGGGAGGGAAGTCTAGAGACTCGCAAACATTTATACAACTGCAGTTTACTTGTCATAGGAATCCTCCTTTCTGTAGAATGTGGACACATCTACCCCATTTCTAGGTCACTCGAGTTACCTACTGCCTGGGAATCAACTCGCACGGAGCCACCAATAAAAAACATTCTAAATGTTAAAGCCACAGACTACTTTCACACTATGCAAGAGCGCAACAGTCTTTAACAGTCTGGTTATCTTACCCTTTACCACTAAACTACAACAATGATTAAACCTCAAAAAAAAACAGTGCAGTTAAGAAGATGTTTCCCACATCACAATACTTAATGTGACCTAGTTTTTCTTGAAGCGCTGGAAACTTACTGTTGACAACAGCAGTAGCTAAAATGGCAGCCATCCCAGCCTGCTGAGGGAGAAGCTGGATATCTGAATGTAAAGTGGCTGGGTACATGGCTGAGGGGTCAGAGATCTCTGCGGGTTCCACCAGCTCCATTTTAACACTGTGGTTTGACTTCGGGGACTTGCTGGTCTGATCCGGAGTGACAACAATTGCAGTTAAGTTTTCCCCCTCTGCGATAGGCTTTGTTGTTTTACACCAGATCTGGTCACCTGCACAAAGGAATAATACAGACACGAGTAAATCATCAATTGTTCTGAGTAATGTTACACCAAGGGATGCAATAAAGTCAAACTATTCTTAGATTATAGTAGACTGTGGCCATTCACACTGGGCTAGTAACATTTATTCTGCACGTTTATTTTTAAACCATAGTTTATTTTTAAACTCAGATAACTGCGCAAAAAGTGTTTCCAAACTCCAGGCTACATTGTGACGTTCGAAATAATTATGCAAATATATTATACAAATTATACAAAAACACAACAAATATATTTCAAGGACCTTCAGAATCTCTTGTCCAAATGTGAAATGTAACGAGGTGGTCAATCACTGCAATGAGTCATTCACTCACTGAACAAGTGAGAGGCTATATAGCAAACATCTCCGCTTTCGTTAACAAGCAATTAATGTTGATTTAAGGCCATCATAGTACTGATGTTAAGTTTTTAAAATTATACTCAATGAACAATGTTATTCCTTTCCTTGTACTCTGAACGGATCTCAGCCCCCAGTGCAACTGAAAAGCTATCACTGAATCAGCAAAAATCACAGAATGCTCGCTCTTTCATATTTTTTGCTGACGAATTGTCAGCAAAAATTGTCCCCAGCTCTGAACTGTCAACACAGTTTGCTCTTTGTATCCTCCTCTTTTGGTAGACTCGGCAGCAGAGGTGACTAAGGCGATACAACATTCAGAATTTAAAAGAACAAAACCAGAAAAACGGAAGGATTGCTGGGACAAACTATGTCTAACACTGAGGACAACTCCAAAACAAAGTAGCAAACACTGATCCTTTATTATTGATCAACATCCATACACAAAGTAATTCTACAAAAATAGTACAATACCAGAACGAAGATACCATAGTGATCATTTTCTACAGCACCAGAAAAAAAGACAGTAATATTTGGTAAAAACACACAGCTTCTTCTGTGTTCCCAAGTAGCTACTTTGCAGATAGTTCAGAGAAACCCACATGTTGGTCGAGGCTCGAGCACAAGCAAAACTGAACCATTACTATGACCGTCAGCTCATAACCAACTGACGTGCAAGAAAAGGTGAGTTAGTACAACTAAGCTCAGCAATGAGCTTTAACACTGCCCTCCCTCTCTCTGAATGTGAAATGCAGTAAGGCGGATCAGTCACTGGAGTGCGACGATCACTTACTGAACAAGTAATAAGATAAAACTAATAAGTTTTCAAAGTGAGGAATATGAAGTTAGATAGATAGCATCACAGAGTAAATAGATTACAGATGACCTTGTGAAGATCATTCAGGCTTCCACTTCAGCATTATTGGATGAACGGAGGTTTAAGCAACTAGGTATCTCTCGCAAACCTGGTTAACATGATATCTTTCCAGTTTTCCTCCAAAATGGGTAATTATCTGAAAAGCTGATGCATATCTATTATCAAGATAAGTGATGTGTGTTTGGAGTTCAAAGATTGGAAATGAACAATCGTAATATCACAGTGGCTGAAAGAATCATTCAGGGTCCCGATAATAAACCTTTTCCATATAAAGAGCAGAGCTCTTTTCTGTATATTATTAGGGCATCCAGTTCTTTTCGAGATTAAACATTTGGGCACTAGGTGTCCCTCTCAAGTTGACACACGAAGCACAAGCTCTGACAGGCTTTCCTCTCTCTGTGTCTCCATCTGCAGTAACAGATGTTGTGCTGTGTGTACACAAATGTGGCTGATCATCACATAAAACTCCAGGAGGTGGGGGGGGGGGGGGGAGGAACCAGGCTATCTTGGTCAGTAAGGAGTTATTCGGACGATGGGCGACTCCTTTGCTCCTGACAGTATAAAACGTAGCATTAAAAATATAGAGGGTGTTCCCAAAAGCGGTCTCCTTGTAAAGAGGATTTGTAGAAAATTCATCTAGTCAATAGGAAGTGCTTAATTATCAGACAGCTGTGCCTGCAGAGCCAACTGCTGGCCTTTAAACCATGAGCACGCTTCAAAGGAATCAGCAGTGAATGGTTTGCAATATCACTGCAATCTGCAGAATTTCATCAGCAAGTGGAGGTGCCACTTGATGTATGAAATTAACTCAGTTGGGCTTGATAAGCTGCTCTCCTCATTAATAAAGTGCACTGGATCTTCTGCAACACCCTTCACGGCCCAATAATTAAATCTTATAACCTTATTTATTGTCCCTGGTCAGTGAACGATGAGGATGGATTCAATAAGAACTTGCATTTACATAGTGTCCTCCACATAGAATAATGTCTCTGATCGCTTTACAGTGGTGGGGACTGATGCCGAGAAAGGGAAAGGTAACTGAAGCCATGGTCATAGAAGTAAGTGTAAATGTATTAGGGGCGGGGGAGCGAGGGAAGAATTTCCGTTAGCAGAGTCAGCATGGCTGAGAGGAGACTATTTTCTCATTTATACTACTCATCTAGGAGAGAACATTCATCTCACAAGGTTAACATGAGAAAAATAAAAACCCTAAAGAGTTAATGTCCCACAATTTCCCCCTCATGCAAATAAATGTTATTGTGGTACTTCTAAGGCTTCTAACGCAATCGCTATCATAAATTGACATAACCACATCAGTTACTAACCACAAAGGATTTACATTGACAAATCATTATCAGACCAATCTACCAAGCAGCTAGCTCATTACTATCATAACTCAAGGCTTGGTGGTTGCATCTTTGGATTGAAAGAACACTAAACAGGAGGGACAGAAGTCTTAATTGATTATGACAAACAACCCTTAGGAAAGTTCACCTGTATCCTGACTTTTACACGTGAAAAATACGAAGCAATACGACGCGAGCAAAGTTTTTAAAAAAAATTAATATCTTCCTTGAAACACCGTTCACTCATTTTGTGTTGTGCTTTGAAAAAGGCCAACTTAAATCCCTTGCACTTGATAAAGCACCTATGACATCGAGTGTCTCAAAGCACTTATAATAATAATCCTTACATTTGATATAGCATTTTCACGTCATTTTGTGGGCAGCCAATTTGCTGTGAAGTCTAGTGGCTGTGTATCTGTAGGCAAACGCTGCAACCTATGTTCACATAGCAGTATTTCACAAACAGCCATGAGGTGAATGACCAGTTTTATCAAGGGGGATAAGCTTTCTCATGACTCATACTCTCTCTCTGCAAGTTACTGAGAGCCCTGGCCCAGCTAAGTGGAAAGCATTATTTAATTTCCCCTACCAGTGCATCTACTTCCTCATTTAAAACTCTTGGGCAAATTTTACCGAAATTGTTAAAGAGCCAATTCAAATGCGCGCTTCCCACATTGGATTGGTGGATCACGGCAGCAAGCGTTTATCATTATATTTTTGGTATCACCTTATTTCTTTCTACACCTGCTGCTAATGTTTGCACTGAGCAGTGCCCTGATTTGTTAGCTCTGCAATTCAGTGAAAGATCGCAGCGGCAACCAAATCAACATTTCCTCCAGCAGAATTTGATCTTTTTCCCTTACATTTGCATTTATTTATCTACTTACTTATTACATGGCTGATAATAATCCCTCAAGAAAAAAAACAATAATAAATTGGGCACTTCAATCCACGACTGTTTGTGGGACATTGCTGTGCACAATTGGCTGCCGCTTTTCGTCCACAAATATACAGTCAATTCACTTTACAGTATATTCTGTGAAGCGCTTTGAGAAGTCTAGAAGACGTGAAAAGTGCTATATCAAATGCAAGGATTATTTTTATTATTATTGTTACTTTTTTCTTTCAATTCTCCTTCCTAACCCCCTCTCACAAAACATGGGACGTAGGAAGAGATGCCTGGAGACAAACACGTGAAAGACTACAGCTATGTGCAGAGTGGAAGGAAACAGCAGGAAGTTCACTAGACAATACTCAAAAGGCATTTTTTAGCTGGTTAAAAGTCAAAGTCCACCTGTAGCTCAACACACACTCTTGAGGTGAGCCTTGTTTCTTGCCAATCTGAGCCTAATATGCTACCCCCGGTGGAGAGGGCACACATATATATAAATAAAACTACAAATGGTAGTTGTTGTATCCCTCCAGAGAGAGTGAGTCTTCCATTCCAGACATAGTGAATCCCCATGTCCAGATGGCATGCTTATGTTGAACTCTTACTCATGGCTTGCATACTCTTAAGCACACCCTCATGGTTTTCCTATGCGTCAGACATCCGGCTGTCCAAAAAAATACTGTGGTATTCTGGTTTCTATATACATTTATAGAGAACAGGAAAGGAATTCAGTATGTGAAGAGCAGAAGTCACTTTTATAAGTTTGATTAACGCACCCAGCTCAAAGTCCAGTGAGTGTTGGCAGATGGTCAAAATATAAGAAAAACAAATCGTCCCTCCCTATGTACTCACTGACACAGTGTGGTGTAAAACATCAATACAATAAAACAACATTCAACCCTCAGAAAGATATTGTAGTAGGTAGTTGTTTAAATACAAAACCAGCAAAGGGTCTGTGTTAACTTTTGAATCACAAGAGAAGTTACTAGTGGGATCCACAAAGCATAATTAGCTTTTCAATCACCTCAACCGTACTTTAAACAGTTTGAGTGGCAATAATTAATATTTGAAGATTACAAATGGAAGGATTTTCAAAACAAATCTTTAGAAGTTGAACATTGTCTCCTTAGAAATGTTAATATCAAGAGCCCACCTTCGCAGTAAATGGTGCAATTGGCCAACTCTTCATTCATAGTTATGGGGAACTTCCTTAACCAGCACCGTTCATCTTTGAGCTCCAGAAGTAGTACTGTAGCACTCTGTTAGTGAAAAGAAAAATAATCCGTTTAGGAAATAGTAATAACATTGGCAAACTTTGAATTTGATACAGTCACGTTCACATCAGGAGGATATCTCAAAGTGCTTCATTAAGATTGACTGTAAAGAGTAGGGATTATACTTTGTAGGTGAACATGGCAACCAATTTATCTGCAGCAATTTCCCACAAACTGCCATGAAGTGACTGACCAAGTCTGGGATGCTACCCTGTGTGAGAGGAGCTATATAAATGTAAGTTGTTGTTGTCTTGCACCTTGCTGGGTTGTTTTTTGGTCAGCGTGGTTTTTGACATATACAGAGACTACAACAACAACAACAAATAATAATAATAATAATAATAATCCTTGCATTTGATATAGCGCTTTTCACGTCGGGAGGACGTCCCAAAGCGCTTCACAGATCACACTGCAAAGTGAATTGACTGTATATTTGTGGGCGAACGCGGCAGCCCATTGCGCACAGCAATGTCCCACAAACAGTCGTAGATTGAAAATGACCAATTTATTATTGTTTTTGGTTTTGGAGGGATTATTAGAACAAAACCGGCAGCTCCTCGGCAAACCAGATTAGAAACGAAACAGGAGACAAATGGCATTTATATAGCGCCTTTCACATCGGGAGGATGTCCCAAGGCACAGAGAGTATCTAAACCAGAGTTTTAGTTGCATGTCTTGCCTTACATGAAAACCTTGTTACAGAATAAAGCTTTCAGCCACAAGATGGCACCATTGACGTGCAGATCTCAGGTCTTTATTTGTAGGTTTTGTTTTGCTCAGCTGACGTTTACAAGTCAAAAGCTCAGGTTTTTAGCTGGATTGCAATAGGCTCACATCTGGTTCCAGGCACAGCTGGAAAAACAATCCTGGGTTTCACACCTTATTCCTTTTTATAGTTCGTATAAAACTCAATTATGTTTAAATTACACACATTGGTGCAATTACATAAAAGGACCAAATTTGCTTTTGCAGCTGTCTGTAACAGTTTCATGGTACTTGCCTTCCTTCAATTATGCTTATCGGAAATATTTGGGAGAGCGGGACTCTTTGAGGAAATAGATAAACTGGAAAAAGAAATTGAGTTTCAAAAGTAACTGAAATTTACACACGGATGTGGAGTTAATGATTTCTATGACTATGTGTACTAGATCGAATGCCAAGAGACACAGGCAAACCACAGATTTCACACAACCTCCATATATTCTCCAATACACTTACTCTTTTAGACTCAGTATCCTCCACACGGGACATTCTGACTGAACAAGGAAGGAAGTGTGCTTACCTACCTGCAGAGTATTGCCATAGCAAAGGCATGTAATATTAACTTATAAGAGGCCGATGTGAAGTTCTGCAGAGGAAAGCGTGTGCAAGCACAGCTGGACTGTCCACATCAAAATAAGTTCCCAAGTCTTAAAATGTTTAATCTAAATTTGATAAATGATCAGGGAGACAGAACTCTGTGATCATCACTGTGGGTTCTTGCCTAATACGTTATACAATGCATACAACATTTGCAACCTACCAATTCAGTTTGTAAATAACTACTGCAGCACTGGTCTTTGGGTATTTTGAACAGTCTGTTCATTCTTGCGGAAAGACTTATTGTTTTAAAAGTATCCCTGCTTGTTTGGTTAATTTCTTCCAGAGAAATTAAACACACTCCTTTATATGGGTTATGATGGAGCAACAACAACAACAACAAAATTACATTTGTATAACACCTTTTACGTCGGGAGGACGTCCCAAGGTAAAGCTGGGTGAAGTTTTCTTTCTCACGCGGAAGCACTTATACTTAATAAAGCAATGTCCATTTTATACTGAACAGAACTTATTGAGGATATGTTTTATTCTCTGCCTGTAAATGACTTGTATGATAACCCCTCCCTCTGAGTGCTATCTGGCAAGATGAGATTTGGGCCTGAAAACTAACTAAAAGTACTTTCCACGAATCAACTTGGACTCATCACTTGGATGGTGTTGGATATCTGTCTCATCAGATACCATGCTACTTGGAAGAGGGTTCGACAGAGACAATATCGCCGAGATCGTCCAGTTGGAGTAAGATAGGGGCTGCTGCTATTTCATGGTGGCATTGAATGCTCCTTTACCAGCTCAGGCTCCTGCTAAGTCTCTGAGATGATCTTCCAACGTAAAAAGCACCACATACGTGTAAATTGTTGTCGTTGTTGAGACCATCGTATCTTGTGTAAGGTGAATCTTGCGCTGCTTGGGACGCATGCAAAGCATCAGCAACAAGATATTCTTGTAATTCTGTGTCAGTACAAGTTACCCTCTCTGGTAAATGAGGTTAAAGAAAGATTAAAGAAACAACAGCTAGGTTTTCTATTATGTTGAATGCAAGAAAGCCTGATTTCTGAGTCGATCTCATTATCCAAGAGCTCAGAGGACTGACCTGTGTATTTACTGAATAATCTTATTAAATTCAATAATGATCGGTTAATAGGTTTTCAAAAGGCTAATATGTAAATCAAGAATCAATTTTGCCTCAAATCCCAGCAAAATTGGTGACTTTTTGGAAAGGCAAGACCTCGGCTAGGCCAGCCTTGACCTTCCATTTGGAAATTATTCAGTGCTTAACAACGATGCCGATGTCTGCAATCCTGAAATCTTTCACATCCTTTTGCTATGAATGTTAATGATGGTGAAAATTTTAATCTGGGATGATCCCTGAGCTGTTGCTACATTGATATGAAATCTAATTATTCGGCCTCAAACCAAGAGCTACTGAGAACTCATCAGTGCCATAGCCAGGAGTTCAAAGCCAGATGCAGCATCCAACATTTACTGAAGAACTGAAAGTTTTAATAAAAAGAAGGCAGTCTGATTAGTTCATGCATAGTGCAAGGTACAGCAGGTCTTGATTTAGTCCAGTGAACTGAACTTGATTAAATTCAAAAAATAGCAGTCTGGACCAGAAAAAGGATCTTTGGATAGGAAGGTGTATAAATAAATTGTTGCTTCCTTATGTTTATTCTGGCAGAGGAAGGGATTGAGTCTATGAGAGTCACAAGTCAATTCACTTTACAGTATATTCTGTGAAGCGCTTTGAGACGTCTAGAAGACGTGAAAAGCGCTATATCAAATGCATGGATTATTATTAATACAATAGTAATAAGAAACCTTGCACTTGATAGAGGGTCTTTTACGTCAGGAGGACGTGAATTGGCAAATTGGCTGCTTCACTTGCCTACAGATACACAGTCACTACACATCACAGTGAGTGCTGTGGTTTCAAGCCCCACGTCCAATCCTCTTGAACTTTGAGCTGACACTCCAGTGGGGATTTGCTGTATTGTTGGAGGTGCTGTCCTTCGGATGAGACATTAAACAAAGGTCCTGTCTGCCTATTCAAGTGGACATTAAAGATCCCTTGGCACTATTCAAAAAGAGAATGGACTTTCTCAATGTGTCCTGGAGAATTATTCCCCAGATAAAATTGGTCATTCACTTCAGGGTCTTGTGTGGGACACTGCTATGCACAAGTTGGATTATTAGTGTTATTCTTACTACTATAGTAATCTAGTTTCTATATAAATTGTAGCAACCCAAATATAATTGATGGGTGCACACCAAATGTGAAGCATAACTACAAGTTTGGGAAATTTTTTTAGAATTTCAGGTATATTCCTCAGCTGCTTACAGTCAAAAAAATTCTTCAGACCTTAAATGTGCTTGTGGTGTACCGGCCAAGAAAGGGCAGGGTTTTTTTTTTGGAGTTGGAGGAAAAATATGACATGAGCTTAGTGCTGCTAATATTAACCAGACCATCTCAAATATATATCATGCAAGAACATGATCCACACCACATCTTTATCATCTACTTATCACTAATTTATCAGGCTTCTCCTCAATCCACAAGAGGCTAAGATACTTAAGACTTGCTGAGCTGTTTAATTTATCACACTTTGTAGTTCTGGAAAGCATCCATCAAATGGTTCAGTCCCTTTAGAAGGAAAATAAATTTTAAAGAGTTTTTTTCTTAAAAAGGAAACTTCATAGATAACAGGATAACAGAACATTTAGCGGCTCAATAATATCAAAAAGTTTAGATACAAAGCAAGACGTCTCATTTGTGATATCCAGCAACTCAATAACAGGAAAGCGGGTTGCCAAAGGTACTAAGCGATGATTAGAGACATGATTCCAACAAGGCCTAAACATTGGACTTTTAAAGCAGGCTCGTCCATTGGTTTCGTAATATTACTTTAATGCTGAGTTTGTACAAATGGGGTTTCAAGCAGAGCTCCTTTAAGGTTCATGTCTTCTAAGTATCAGCACCATTAAAACTCACATCACAAATGTCCCAATTATAATTACGCTGCCTCCCTATTAATCCTTTGAATATTTTGCACCAAATTAATGACGTCAAGAAAGCAGGTTTAACTTTAAAAATATATAAAAGACTTAAATGTCACAGCAGGCAGCAAAGATAGTTTCATGAATCCATCAAAATGCATTTTTTGCCTTAATTGACCTGAAACGCCTCAAAACAATTTAAATTTTTTTTTAAAATGGTTTGGAAAATAAAAATAGAAAATGACATCAATCATTTTCACGAGATGCTGTGGGGATTGCAACATAAAAGCCTTTCATAACCTGCTTCAGGAAACTACACCAATCCAGGATTTGCAAAGATTATTATTATTATTATTTACTAACTTACTTGAAGGAAAATCTATTTAACCATCATTCTCAATTTTCATTTGAGCGGACACATTTAGTCATTTGATGATAACCTGAAAGGTTTTTTTTAAAATATATTCAAGAGGCTTTCAAGTCCTCTTAAAATCCAACAAACCAATGCATCAAAGCCTCTTCCTTTGTTGTTGAGGTTTTTTCCTTGATGACTCAGACCTGTTGACTCTTGCCCTTGACCGTATGATTTTGCATTGATGGTGTGGAAACTTTCAAGTAGCTGATAAGGATTTGTACAGAAAACCAGGATCTATTAAGGCTCAGTACTACTCATCTGAGGTAGGCCAGTTCAAATTTTTTTGCAGTTGAATCAAATGTCCCGTTTACAGTTATCAAAGAATGGCGTATGCGCAATTTAGATTTCTGCAGTCACATGAATATTATGAATGAACAAGGACTGTACAATTTTAATGTCAATCTTCCTTCCCACTTTCTTGGTCAAGGTGCAAAGATCGCAGAGCTCTCAAGCCACCGACAGAGAGAATTTGTCAAAAACACCAAGCACCTAACAAGATAGGTTCCAGCTCTGAGGGAGATAGGAGCAGCAGCCCACATGTGTTCTCCCAATGTTAGGGAACCTGGGTATTTGCTGCCATGGTGAGGTATGGGGGCATTCAACATTTACGGAGAATCTACATGTAACAGTAATAATAATACTTGCATTTGAACAAGTGCTTTATCATGTCGTTGAGATGTCTCAAAGCGCTTCACAGAATATACTGTAAAGTGGAGTGACTGCTTATTTTGTGGACAAAACGTGGCAGTCAATTGCTATTTTTAAACTTGGATTTATACAATGCTCTTCAATTGCTCTTCAATTGGAATAATATCTTGGAGTGCTTTCACTTTCAGTGTTGGTGTCAGACACCGTGCAAGAGAGGGGGAGAGAGATGGGAGGGGACGTACCATAGGTACGGTCAAAGGGATAGATCTTGAGGCAGAACTAGACAAATAGAAAGGGGGAGAGAACGAGACAGAGTGATAGAGGGAGGCAGTTCCAGACGCTAAGGCTGTAGAATCTGAATGTCAAAAGTTAGATAATAAATGCCTTGAAGTACAATCACTGGACTGGAAGGGTTTTTGTAAAACAATAACCATTATAGTAAGAGGAAAGCTATTTCCGTATCTTTTGTTAATCAGCTGATGAATGAGCTATTAACTGAGAAATGGTTACGTCCTCACTAGACTAAAAAGTGCTGCTGCTCCTCAGAGAGAGCGGGGAAAAAAAAGAGAGGCCGATAAGCACAATGCCGGAACTCAACAAAAATGTAGATAGAAGTTAAAATCTTGGAAATGAGTGTATATCAGCCAGAAATCAATCATTTTGGACTTGGTGTACCAACAGCCTCCCAGAAGCATGGCGCCTGAGAGAGATAAATCCAGACTAGAGAGATAAGGGTTAATCTGTATTTAATTCAAGGAGATGATGAACAGGACATTTAATGAACTCAGAAATATAGAATTTTTTTGTTGTACAATTGTGTTTTGTTCTTACACAGACCAGACAACCGTACAGTTGTGTTAATTACTAGCTCAACAATTTACACTTATCATCAAAGTTTGCTTGATGAGACATTTACATGAAACTGCTGCCACAGCATACGAGACAAAAAAATTACACTTGGTTTGTCATACTTGCCATAGAAGCCAACTGCTAATTGTTCAATTCATTCAGTTTCATTTTTGGGGGGCCAATTTTTCCAACAGTTTAAAAGGCAATTAACAGGTGAAAGTTAAATTAGATTGCACGGAATAAAGCAAGTTTGTCATTTATATCATCTGGAATGTAAAATATGAATTCCGTTCAATAACGGGCATTTTGTAAATTAAAGATACTCAAGAGTAAACTGTGGAACAAGTGTGGTACACAATACATTTATGTCACGAGTTAATTCTACATCAGAGCAGGTAAATGCAACCAGCTCCGTATGAATCGGTTGGTTTATGTAAGTGTGATACCAAAGCGCGTTATTCTAACAGGGAATATAGCCACACGAGCCTCGTGGATGCTCAGAACACTTTACAGCTGGCAGTTGCTTCTAGCCAAAGCCTTTGACTGCCATGTTGGAAGGATGCCATTTTGGAAATTGCCCATGTGGAAAGGGAGATGGAAAAGAGATTAACTGTAGTCTCCAAACACAACCCGGTCATACAATTCCTTTGCAGCGATCAATTGGGATCCTAGCTTTATTTTTTTTTACAAAATAGTGGTGGGGAAAAAAAGGACACCCTCCAAGTTGGAGACTAGGAGAGAATTTAGGAGGCAAGGGAGAAAAAATTACTATGATCATTCTTTTCTTTTTTTCTCTCAAAAGCACTGGACCATTAGATTACTAGAAATACCACTGGATGGTAAACTATTCTGCATTGAAACAAATAGCCATTATATCAAGACATCTCGATTCCAGTCAACTTGTTCTTTCTGAAGTGGCTCTTTGAAACTTAGACAGTGTCTTATCTACCAAAACACATTTTATGAAATCAACCCATATCTTGAAGCATACTGTGTTAATTTAAGTCACAGTATTGAAGGACAGTCGAGAGGCAGTTTTTGACCATTTTCCTAAAAATACTGTTCATCTTTCTATCTTACACTTAAAATAATTCTCAATACCTGGTTTGTTCACCTTTGCTGAACATGTGCACTGCGATGCCAGCAACACACTGATCCCATACTCAGAAACACACACTTTTTCGTGATTGAGGCAAAAGGCCATTTAATGGAGTCGTTCAGCAGCTTTGCAGGCTGCATATTAACCACAACTCCCATTGCTTTTGGTAACAGATTGCAATTTTATAATTTCCTTAAACAGAGCAATACATTGCAATCAACATCAGTTCTACCTCTCCATTCACACAACTGCCTTTCCTTAAGCTGCTTCACTTACATTGAAGGTTGAGGAAGCTGCACTTGTTAAAATTGGGCTTAAGGTTGGAGAAAGAAAGCCAGCTTCCTGCGACTGCAACTCATCGGGGCAGTGAATGAGCTAATGCATTTTATACAAGTCTTGCGGGGGTCAGTAAATATTTAGTAGCAGCACAAGTGGGTGGATCAGAATTTCTGGATGCCATCAAACAATCTGAACACATTTATTTTGGAAATTCATGAATCCCAATTATACACCTGCCAAATACAGTCAAACTTGTTCAAGTAACCACCTCCATACAGCAACCACCTGTTAACAGCCACCCTGGAATGGTCCGGACAATACAGTTCGCACACCGATTAACCCTTACTCAGAGGCCACTCTTATATAAAGGTTACTTTGGCCCAGTCCCCTGAGTGGTTGGTGAAGACAGGTTTGACTTTATATGGTCACTACACTCGACAACAAATCCTGTGAAAGACTTTGAGACATCTCAAAGACATGATAAGGTGCTGTATTGAATGCGAGGATTGTTGTTTCTAACCTCTGTGAATGTAACTGTTAAAATATATGCCAAATTTGGGCCAATTTTGTGCCTGTTCAGTCACAGTGAGGAGGGATTGGGCTGAGACCGCTGAAAGTCATTTAATTATCACTAAAACAAAACATAAAATAAAATAGATGAGATAACCCCTCAAATACTTCCCTTATGGGAGCAAGGCAGTCAACAAGGACTGGAATGATATCAAGTTGTTTTGTTTAAAGTTTATTGACCATAACGCATGTTCAATGGTCAGTTGCTGGGAAAAAAAACATACACATCACCCTCTCACCGAATGAGTCACTCTGAAAACATGGAAAATGCTAATGAAATGCAGAAACTTGTATATATTTACCCCACAGCTTCGGAATCAATTTCTCCGGTCACGCACATAAATTAATCAATACTTATTTTTAAAAAAAGCATTTAACAAACCATTCTGATGTACAGAATAGTTTCCTTACCGGCTTTTCAAGTTCTGTAGTACTTTTGTTACTGCTATTAATTGATCCTTCATATGGGCCCCAGGAGAAGCCTTCTGATAACGTCTGACATGCTCTCACTTGCATTTGACTTTCCAAGTGGTTTAGCTCCAGTGACTCTGTAAATGACGGAAAATAGAAACAAAACATTTAAAAGACACAGAATTTGCTGAGATGCCAATGATGTGAGACACAACACGACACAGCTAATGAAAAAAATACGAAGCGATGATGTAATTTTCATCAATAACAGTTTAACTACCGGGAAAATCGATGATATCTTTCAATCTTCGTTCACCTCAGTGTACAGGTGCAATTTAACCACCGCCTTTAAATTACAAAGACAAGTCTGATCCAATTGTGGGTTATGCTTTTCATGTAGACAGCAAGCGTGGAATGAGAGCAGGTTAACTGACTGCTGAGCCCAATCCTTTCCCCAACTGGCTTTTACTCATGTTTACATAGTAGTACTGGATAGTGATCAGGATCAGGCACCTTGGCTGCTTTCTGCCTCCCTGACCTGGGATGTTGATATGACAGTTACAGTGCCTACCTGTTACCTGGCTGAGATCAGCTAACTCCTCACTGACTGGGATTCAAAGCTGCTACCTTCCAATCTATATGATTTAGTGCTGCTTTTGCCGATTAGCCCACAGGGGGAGTTTAAAACAAGAGCAACATCTTGAAACGGGTCAACATGCATCTTTCAGCAGACAACCCAGGGAACTGGATAAAGGAATGCACATTATTCATTTTTAGGCAATGCGCTTTCTAGAATGGGTCATTTGTCCCCTTAAGCACAGGCAACAAATCCACAATGGTTTGAATGATGCGTTTGGGTCTCAGTTTATTCAATCCTAATAACAAAAACATCCGATAAAAATAAACATTTCAGAATGCAGCTGTATATTTTCCAGCTGTTATTCTGAATTCTTGTTGCTGTCTTCATTTTGATTTTTTTAAAAAAAAAGTTTAGTAGCTCAATTATCAGCTTGCCTTGCCTTTTCAATGCTCAAATACTGGAAGACTGCACCAGCACTGATCTGTGCAGCTGTGCACAAGAAAGGATTTGTAAGATATTGCTGACTTGCACTTTGTTACAGAAAGGACAAGACAGAGGTTAAATACTGTTTGGTTAGCCATCCCTGACTCGCTGCACAAAATAACGTACCCTCCATCTGCCAATAGCAGCACCATCACCTCCCTTGTGCTGCACCCAGTCTTGTCCTCAGTTCATCACTCATTCCAGGTCAGGATACCATGGTGCAGAGATAAGAATGTTTGTTCGACATGCTCCATGTCAAAACACTCATCTATCTTCTATATATCAAACCCCACCAGAGCAAAACGCTCTGTGAAAGATAAATGAACCTTCCCAGCCAACAGAGAAACTAGTAAACTCTTCCACAGCTACTGCTATGACACTTTATCCTTACTACTTGCTAAGCTGAGTTGACAAATGGTTTTACGGCCCTTGATGGGCTTTTGTTCCAAAAAAATGTAAACAGGATACCAGAGAATGACAAATTAACCTCTCTGCATTGAGAGCTTACAATATTTTTATTGGAATGAATACAGAAGTGACATCAGTACATCTTAAATATCACTGCCAGTTTGTATTAACCTGGATTCTTAAAGGGATTTTTTTAAATAAAAGTGCTCGAGAAACAAAAGGTTTTATCAATTCCCCACATCTCAGTTCCAATATAGGCAAAGATACTGCTTTAAATCAGGTGTAAACCCTCGACTGTCCCAGCCAGCGTCTTGGAAACAATTCCTGACGTGAAAAACTCTGTATAAAAGATATTTTATGTTGTTGTTGAATCATTCGGTTTTCATTTCTCACCACAACACCTCCCCACCCCCACCTTTTCTTATTTTAAAAGGTCCCGAATGCCAATATCAAAATAATTTCAAAAAACAATCCCACAGAAAAAGGTTTGTTCTGTCAACATCATTGCCCATATTTACTACCTGTTTATTTGTGATTTTAGATAATCTCTAACCACCAGTTTTTATACTTTCCAATCTTCCAAACATGAGGAACAGCTCCACTCTCTCCAAATAACCAAATTTATGTATTACAAATCTTTCCACATGTTGAGATATTTTTGGTGGTCCCGAGTTACATGCCACTAACCAATGGTAGATAACACGAAATATATCTTGCTGTTTCCTAAAGGAAACTAAGAGGTTGATCACAGACGTTAGGATCCAAACTTCATGACAAATGCCCTCTTCATGTTTCTTTCAGCTCAATGCATCACTAGCAGTAAAAGGGATTAGAAATAGGAAGTTGTGTTCAAATTGCTCCACGGCCTTGCCCCACCTGACCTCTTCAATCCCCTGAATCCTACAGACCCAACCACTCTCACTGCTCAGTGTACACTCACTCCCTGACACCTTTCTACCTCTCCGACCTCCTCACTCCCCAATCCACCACCTGGCGCCTCCACTCGACTGGCACTGGCCTCCTATTCATCACTCGCACCCTCCACCCCACCATCGGAGGTTGGGCTTTCAGTCACTCTGGAACACTCTCCGTCAATCCCTCCGCCTCGGCCCCTCTATCCCCTCTTTAAAGTCCCACCTGAATACTTTCCTCTTCGACAGTGCTTACGGCCATCTTCTCCCTCCCCCCCCCCGGCTCACAGTCAGGCTCGCTCCTGTTAAACGCTACCCTGAGTGGAGGATGCTATGTAAGTGCAAGTTGATGTTGTACACCAGCCTGCTTTACATTCCTCGGTCGACCCCCTTCCCCAACGGTGGGCAAGCTTCAGCCGTGCTCTACCCCCACTCTGTGAAGCTCCATTCTGCTTGGACATGTTCTCTTGTCGTGAACAGTGTGATCCCAAATGCAAAGATTTTATCATCATCATCATCAAAAAACTCTGGAGTGCTGTGACTGGCCTTCCAATCAAGGTCACTATCTTTCAAACATTTCTGAGGCTTGGAGCAGTTGAATGAACAGTGGGGAGGTTGAGGGCAGAATCTGGCTAATAAAATGCCATGTGACCACAGGTTGCCAAGGAAATGCTGAAAGGATGGCAGCCCTATTGGAAAGGGAACCTCAGGAATAAGTTGTTTTTAAAATACAGGCTTTCGAAGCACTTCAAAATACATAAGGATAAGACTATTGTAGGACGCTACCCAAGAGAACTATTTGGAGTTAGCCTTGCCAAATCAGTGTATGCGTAAAACAATACAAACCATGTAGAATTCCAAGCATGCTCCTTAGAACAGGAGGAACAATTAATGAAACAAAGCCCCTTATGAAATTTAGTAAAAATACGATAAAACGTAAAATTACTGAGGCATGAAATTAATCCTCAGGTCATGAATAAGTGTCTCTCAACTGTGAAATAAAAAGCAATCCAAATATGCGACTGTCAACCTCTCAATACGAAATTGGGAAAATGCCTCAGTTTTGTTTCTAGTGTTAAATACTTACCATGGAAAGTCTAATCCGTATATTAAGTGGTGTAATCCGAGTCCTGGCCTATGGCTGGAGTCTATGGTCAGTTGTTCCTGTATCAAAGCACATCCTCTCATCCATCAGAAGAGAAATTACCTGCTCAACAATTTTCCTGGACTGTATCAAATTTACACACTCAGCACTAGATTAATATATCAGCCCAGAAGGTGGCCATCTGGAAAAATGGGTCCCAGTAACTTTCTTTTCCAATGGCGGCAATCAGACACTCTGGCCAGCCAGCAACAGTTAGTGATGTCAGGATTAGTTGGGTGATTGGCAGAAGGTGTTCTAGCCTGAATGAGAGATTTTAAAGAATGAAGATGGGGGTGTGGGGGAAAAAGACTCACCATTACAAAGGTAAAGGTGAATCACTAACGTGGCTACAATGAGTAAACCAAGTGAGGTCTAGTGAGCAAAGTTCACTCTGGCAGGCGCGGAAACAAATAAAAATTAGCCTTTACTTTTCGAAGGAATTGTCTTCAGCTTAGCATTCACCGACGAGTACTTTAAGGGTTAAGGAGAGAAAACAGTAGTCATGTTTTTCCTGGTTCTTGTTGCAGAAAGACACATGGGAAGAGGAATTTTATACCTTTCACGTTAGTTCCCCGTCTTTGTGGGTTTCTAGATGTGAAACGCAATGATCCATTATCTGCAAGAAAATTGGACACTCCACTAATAGCTGAAATGATCTTTCATTATCAGCTGTAACAAAGTCCATTTTGCTGCCTATCTCAGTGTCTATACCATTCGCTGTTTTGTTTGCTTCACTACCTGCATTAATGCAATTTGGTTATCTTATCTCCCCATCAGCCCCGAGTCTCTCTATCCAATTGGACCCCGTTCCATCATCTGACCCTAAAATTATCAGAATAATTCCTATCACTGGGATCATTAACCAAATACTGTTAGGTATCTAGGCTGTTTGCTTTTGATAGTTGCAGAAAATAGCAGTGACTGTCAGCACCATTTATCTAAGAAATAGATTTCTTTTGTTCTTACGCATGTTCGGTTCTGTACAACAGAAATATTTCTGATAAGTTTATTTCTGAATCATTTTTAAAGTACCACATTTAAAAAGATCAAGGGACAAGATTAAATGGGGCACATCAACCTTGCAAAATGGGTCATGCTTTTTCTTTACAAGGGAAATAAGTCAAAGTGAGGTTTAGTATTTCAGCACAATGTAGGATGTGTATCTTTAATGCTGTCACTTCCAGTTATAGTGAATAATGGGCTTGTTATTCCCTCTCCCCCCACCCCCCTCCACCCACACCCCTCCCACCTTTTTACTTAAGGAGTGATCATAGCATGAGTAGATAAAAATCACAAACAGTAATTATCCATTAACAATGATAGAAGCCAGCTCTACAGTAGATGCCACAATTGGCCTCTGTATCTTTGAGAGAGGGGGAAAATGGGCGGGGGGAGAAATCTGGGCTTTAAACTCCTGACCAACTAACCTACTATTCAGTGATAAACACAGAAGTCACTGGGAACACACAGCAGGTCAGGCAGCATCCATGGAGGGAGGAAAATGAGTGAACATTTCAGGTCTATGACCTTTTGTCAGGACTGACGAAAGTTCATAGGTTCTGACAAAAGGTCATAGACCTGAAACGTTAACTAATTTTCATCTCCATGGAT